AAATTAGGAACAATAGTGGTCCTAAAATTGAACCCTGTGGTACCCCACTATGAACGGAGGTGTCAGGGTACGGGGCAAGCGAGCCGGAAAGCAGGCGAGCAGAGCCGTAAAGACAGACAAACGGGGTTTATTGAGGGATCCGGGCAAACATCGAACATCCAACGTGACACTACAATGACGGATCTGGGTAGACTGACTGAGACAAGGACTAAATACAAAAGACAAGCTACGGGTAACGAGCCACAGGTGAGAACAATCAGGGAATCACACGAGGTAACGAGGTGGGCGTGGCACACATCGGGATCGAACGGAGCGGATCGTGACACTTGTGCAAATGGGTACATTAATATTTAGGCTAAAACCTTTAAAACTTTAATGCAAGCAGCTGTAGAGGTATACTGGTAAAACCTCCACAAGGTTACTTGTGTGGTTGAATGAGCTATTGGGACATTTTATGTCATGTCTCAAGTCATGCTTTAAAGGTCTGTTAATTGCACTTTCTTCCCTTTGAAGTTAAGAAGTTCGATATTTTTCATATCAAAAGTCCCTTAAGTCCCATAGAGTGATTTTTTTATCGTGTGCGCACAAGTTATTATTTGGAAGGAACAGGTTAGCTGCGTATAGCTGTCATGTTGTAAGAGGTTTATATACTACGTTAATTGCTAGACCTGGCATAAGGGTACAATAAAATACAACAGCCTTGTAATTAATATTACTGGAAGGAGTAAATACAACGCTGCTACGCACTACTTTGACATTAAGACTGAGGTATACAGTCCGTGTGAATGGTCGCGCCATGAACAATACTTTTTTTTCTTTCATTATCGGTAGTTAATAATAAAACAGGTATAAACAGGTACAATAAATACAATAAATAGGTGTCAGTAATGACAAGAAATGTTAGGGGAACTTGGTGAGGCGAACAAATCAACAAACCGAGTAAAGTGACAAACATAGTATGTCTTGATGCAACCGAACCAAACATCAGTGTCAACAATATTAAGATGAACAAAATATAGCCTGCGTGCAATAATAGTTCAACTAACAGTTTTTGATATTACTGACACCTATTTATTGTATTTACTGTACCTGTTTATCATAGTGTATTATTATGATTACCGATAATGACCGAAGAAAAAGTATTGTCATGTCACATGAATTCATGTCGCTTCACCTCTGTCGCGACCATACACACGGACTGTATAATTCAGCCTTAATGCCAAAGAAACAGTTTGCAGCATTAAAAAAATGGAAAATGAGTTCATGGTGTTACTTGTTGACTGTAAATGAATGTCTCTCCAGTTCGATTTGTTTAGACGTCGAGACATATAGTTTTGGTAGACATATAGTTTTCATATTACTCTCAGAGTAAATTATCTTGTGCACACAGAATAACTTGTGAGCACAAGAAAATAACTTGTGCGCTAACGATTTAAAAAGAAAATCACCCTATGGGACTTAGGGGGCTCCGTATTAAAGTGAGAATTTCACACGTACCGAAATACGAAAATGAACATATGCTATTAACGTCCCTTCTTGTAGAATTAAAATACATTATTAACGTCAGTTTCCAGTGTTAATAATATAGTTTAAACAGTGCTTGAAGTGGGCCGGAACACAGCGGAACGCAGTTCCGGAACTTCTGTATTTTCGTCTTTTGGGTTCCGCCACTTTTTTCTGCATTCCGGTACTTACTGAAACTGATCCGACGCAGCGACAGTGGCCCGAGAATAGACAATATCACAATACCGATAAAAGACTACATGTTGTTTTAATGTTTTTCAGTATTCCATTTGTGAATTAGAAAAAAGTAGCCTATGCCTATAGGTTATTGCTTGGAAGAATGATTCAATTAAAATAGTTTTTGAACCAACACATCCTAAAGACTGGATTTTTTTTTCACCGCACAAATGTCAAATGTCGGAAAATTAGAGTTCCTGTACTTATTTTTTCCCACTTCAAGCACTGAGTTTAAATCGATCACCAAAATAATAAGTATATTCTTTAAAAGACTCGAATTCTGTTCGGTCGAGTTAACGTCCGGGCTGTGTGTAAGGATTATGTGATATCTGGTACCACCTCCATGGCATCACTGTTGCCAACTCCTCAGCAAAGAATGTCGCTATTGGTTGTCCCAAAAGTCGCTAAATGACGCCATCACCTAATTTGCATAATGTGCATATTATTATAATGGACGCTGTAGGAGAGAGGAATAATGTCAAAAGACAAAAGGTGGTTAAAAAACACCCTAAATACGTTTAGAACTACAAATTAACTTTCTTCTGTCGATTCTTGTTTTTTTATATCATAATTCCAACCCTCTTCCTATATCCGGGCTTGGGACCGGCAAAAGTGACCCGAAAGAGACACTCTGGCGGAATTACTAATTCTTAAAAACTGTCATACTTGGCGGAGTTTTTGGCAATAAGCCAGGGCAGGATCAGCCAGTGGTGGCTTCACGCATGCACAATTCATTTGCAGTCTGGACGCAGAAAGGTGAACATCTCCTGCTCTGACTGCAGCTGGGCGGGGCTGCTGCGTGAGGACTGTCCGCCTGTGAATGCTTTGGGACGGGACGGGAGCCCACGGTAGCACCCGCTACTCAGTAAGGAGAGTAAGAACGATACGTGCTTCCACGTCAGAGTCTCCAAAAGTCTCCAATAACACTAGAAAAAGTCACTAGATTTGTCGCTAGTCGCTTTTTTGAAAACGAGTCACCAAAGAGGTCTAAAAACTCGCTAAATATAGCGACAAAGTCGCTAAGTTGGCAACACTGCATGGCATGTTTGCATAACGTCATGTCCGGACTCGGTTGTGGAGATCACGTGTTTCCGTCCCTCTAGTGGAGATCCTCCTGGTGGAGATCTGCAGCCAGACCCTTCTCGATACGTGAGCTGTACCTCCTCTAGTCCCGCCCCGGCCACTAGTGGGCTACGCTGCTTGTTTAAAATAAAATAATAATTATTATTATTATGATTATTACTATATTTTTCCAGTTGCCAAAAACGTAGCATCATTATCACATTCAGTTCAACTGTAAGTGCATTTTTTTAGGTGACGTAGGAGATTGTATCCGGTTCCTAATTAGGTTGGTAACAAAAAGAATGCCCTCATGATTGAGCATGTACCTTTTTATCAATTAATTATTGTCGTACGTCTGCAGTACGTCCTTTCTTTCTCGGAAAGTGTGAGGTCTCCGTCTTCGTGCGCGTAGTGCTGCTGCCATCGTGCAACTCCTAACTGGTTTAGGAGTCCTCTTCAGCTCTCAAATAATTTTTCTGAGACCAAGTCTTAACACTTAAGAATGTTTATGCATGGCACTTATTCTTAAGTCTGGGAGTAGGAGCAAAATCACGTCACTCTTAGAGTTGTGACGCATTTAAGAGTGAAATTTTACTCTGAGAAGTTTTATGCAAACCGGCCCAGGAGTCACACATAGAGCTGACACTCAATTTCTCTTTTCCTTCAGTACAGTTCTGTCCCAAGGGATGGACAAGGTTTGAGACACGGTTGTATTGCATCTCCACTGAGAAAAAAACCTGGCAGGAAAGCCGACAGGACTGTAAAAATAGAGGAGCAGATCTGATTGTCATCAACAGTCGACAGGAACAGGTGGGAGAGGAAAGTAGAACCAAGTGATACATCTGCATCATGGAAACTGTAGTATTTTACAACTTTAGCAAATAAATCACAAAGAACAGTAATGAGAAACTACAAGCTGCTAAAAGAGGAACTAAATAATTATCTGGAGAAATGGCAGGGGCTCCTTCCCAAGAAATGATATTGATTCCAATGCCTAAATATATGGTTAACAATGTACATCCTTGATTATTGTAACTTATTGTTGAATGTTCCATTAAAATGTTTTCTCCCACTACATAAGCTCATATAGAGGACAGAGAAAGAGTGAAAGGACTGATCTGTACACTTCATAATAGTAATGCCAGGACCTGGGGGATCAGGGATCCAAATGCAGAGCAAACACAAGTTCAGGAACGAAAGATGGGAGACGTAGTCGGAAGTCAAAAAGCCAATACATCTACGCCAGGGGTGCAGGGAAAAGCAGGCACACGTGCAGATGCTGGAGGCAGAGGCACACTCTGACACTGAGAGAGGGACCAGAGATGATGCTGTCTGGGCAGGGTCAGAGGTCACATGGACACAAGAAAAACAAAAGGAAATGTGAACACTCAAGGAAGACCAGGGGGCTGCTGAAGCACTCAGTAAATACCCACAGAGACACTTCCTGACACTGAGGACACAGGACCGGTTATACAGGACTAAGTAATCAGGGGAATGAGGTGCAGTGGAGCGTTGAAGGGGGGTGTGCTTGTCGGTGCGGAGGCGGCGGACAGGAGCTATGTCTTACAGTGATTGTCCTCACCTGATTCTATGCTGGTTTAAGAAAATATAATAGTAGGAAAATTAAGTTAATGTTTTCATGTTCACATTTTAATTATTCCACTTAAGGATATTATTCTTCATACGGATGCCTGGATCGGTCTGACAGATAGAGAACGTGAAGGAACCTGGAAATGGGTGGATGGGACACCACTGACCACAAGGTAAGAGAAATTTTACTGGTTCTGTTAATAAAATATTTTTACGTAAGGATACTTATAGACGCACATGACTGCAAATTGTAAATTAATATCTTAAAACAGAATGACATCAAGTAATACACTTCTCCTATTGATTTTAATTTTCTACACTGAACAAAAATATAAACGCAACATATATGTTTTTGCTACCATTTTTCATGAGCTGAACTCAAACATCGGAAAACTTTTCTACATACACAAAATACCCATTTCTCTCAAATATTGTTCACAAATCTGTCTAAATCTGTGTTAGTGAGCACTTCTCCTTTGCCAAGATAATCCATCCCACCTCACAGGTGTGGCATATCAAGGTGCTGATTGGACAGCATCAATATTGCACAGGTGTGCCTTAGACTGCCCACAATAAAAGGCCACCCTGAAATGTGCAGTTTGATCAAACAGCACAATGCCACAGATGTCGCAACCTTTGAGGGAGCATGCAATTGGCATGCTGACTTCAGGAATGTCTACCAGAGCTATTGCCCATGAAATGAATGTTCATTTTTCTACCATAAGCCATCTCCAAAAGCGTTTCAGAGAATTTGGCAGTACATCCAACCAGCCTCACAACCGCAGACCACGTGTAACCACACCAGCCCAGGACTTTCACATCCAGCATGTTCACCTCCAGGATTGCCTGAGACCAGACACCCGGACAGCTGCAGCAATAATCGGTTTGCATAACCAAAGAATTTCTGCACAAACTGTCAGAAACTGTCTCAGGGAAGCTCATATGCATGCTCGTCGTCCTCATCGGGGTCTGGACATGACTGCAGTTCGTCGTCGTAACCGACTTGAGTGGGCAAGCACTCACATTCGATTGTGTTTGGCACGTTGGAGAGGCGTTCTGTTCACAGATGAGTCCCGGTTTTCACTGTTTAGGGCAGATGGCAGACAGCGTGTGTGGCGTCGTGTGGGTGAGCGGTTTGCTGATGTCAACGTTGTGGATTGAGTGGCCCATGGTGGCGGTGGGGTTCTGGTATGGGCAGGCGTATGTTATGGACAACGAACACAGATGCATTTTATTGATGGCATTTTGAATGCACAGAGGTACCGTGACGAGATCCTGAGGCCCATTGTTGTGCCATTCATCCACGACCATCACCTCATGTTGCAGCATGATAACACACGGCCCCATATTGCAAGGATCTGTACACAATTCCTGGAAGCTGAAAACATCCCAGTTCTTGCATGGCCAGCATACTCACCAGACATGTCACCCATTGAGCATGTTTGGGATGCTCTGGATCGGCGTATACGACAGCGTGTTCCAGTTCCTGCCAATATTCAGCAACTTCACACAGCTATTGAAGACGAGTGGACCAACATTCCACAGGCCACAATGAACAACCTGATCAACTCTATGCAACGGAGATGTGTTGCCCTGCGTGAGGCAAATGGTGGCCACACCAGATACTGACTGGTTTTTTGCCCCACCACCCCCCCCCACAAAGCAAAACTGCACATTTCAGAGTGGCCTTTTATTGTGGGCAGTCTAAGGCACACCTGTGCAATATTGATGCTGTCTAATCAGCACCTTGACATGCCACACCTGTGAGGTGGGATGGATTGTCTCGGCAAAGGAGAAGTGCTCACTAACACAGATTTAGACAGATTTGTGAACAATATTTGAGAGAAATGGGTCTTTTGTTTATGTAGAAAAATTTTCCGATGTTTGAGTTCAGCTCATGAAAAATGGGAGCAAAAACAAGAGTGTTGTGTTTATATTTTTGTTCAGTGTATTTAGTTGAATATAGCCAAATCAATGGTAGGAGCAGGAGTTGTCCTTAAGTAACTTATGTAAATAATGATGATTGTTATTTTTGTTATTAATAATATTTATTTTGGTTTGTTGTTCAGTTTCTGGAGGGATGGGGAACCTAATAACGTTGGTGAGGAGGACTGTGCACATAACAATGCAGGAACAAACCCCATAAAGAGCTGGAATGATAAAGGCTGCTCTGCTAAGTCATTCTGGGTGTGTGAGAAGGAAGCTTAGTGCACAAACAAACACACACACACACACAGACGATTTGGTAACTCCAATCCACCTTAGTATGTTTTTGGACTGGGAGAACATGCCAACTGCACACAAATAGACCCAAGGTGAAGACTCAAGCACTGATCCCAGAGGTGTGAGGCGGCAGTGCTAACCACTGCAACACCGCCTTGTCCATCGCCATTATTCATTATTGTAATGTGTTTTTTTTTCTTCTTTTTTTGATTTCTCATAAAACATAAAAATACTGTACACTACCTCAGATCAATATAACATAAGTCAAAGTCACATACTATGTAACACATGACAATGTCACAAGTCAGAAAAAAGAACACCTTACTGAAGTAATAAAACAAACTGTCACTCTCTGTGGTCTTTATTTATTAGAAGAACACCAAAGAAGAAGGTTTGCAATAAGTAAGTCAGATGAAAGAGGCAAAAAATGGCCAGAGTGATTGTTACCAACCATGAATTTCTCACTCTGTGCCTTCTTGAGTCCAGACTTGGACTCCAGTCTGGTCTCGATCCACATACCTGAATGAATGGACTTGCTCTTGTCATGTACTCAGGTGAATTTTTACTTGGTCTTGACTCAGACTTTGAGATAAAATGGTATGAAATTTAACAGGATTTTGTCTGGCACTCATACCAAATATGCCTATAGGACCAAAAGCAAGGTATGATCCCAGTCACGCTGATGGGTGTTGACCAGGATGGCAAGCTGTATGCTGAGCATGTGGTTGGACTGCTCTACCAATCTCTTTATGGATGTAGATGACTGCTGTGCGTCTTCACAATGGTCAGCTGCTTGCAGACCTTGCCAAACACCTGAGCCTCGATGTTCCACCCCTGGTCACTGTGCAGTTCTGGCACCGATATGGCTTCTTGACTATGGTCACTAGTCAAGGAAAGTGCTCAGGACGTCTACCCCAGCCCTCTCCATGGGTTCCTCTACCTGGTACTGTTGCATTGGTGCTTGGGACTGGTGGTTTAGCCCATCTTGCCAGTACAGACGTTAAAGCAGTGCATGAATCCTCCTGTCTGCAACCAGGCCAATAGAGAGGCCACTGTAGCTTCCCCAATGTTTTTCCACTCCAAAGTGCCCCTCGTGACTGTGGGATGGAGATTCAGGGCACCAGCAGCTGGAACAGGTGCCTTTCACCATCCAGGAACCACCAGCACTGGTATATCAGCCCATCATGCTTCTTAACGTCCTCCTAACCCCCCCCCCCCCCCTGCTGTGAATAGCGGACCTTAGTCTCCAACTTGAAGGCAGAGACCGCCCTCTACTTTGGCTACCTCCGCACCTACAGCTAACCCCTGACTCGAGCCAGCACCGTGTCATTCTTCTGCTCCATGTGTATCGTTTAGTGGTAAACAGCCTCCAATCTGTAACCACCAATGGTCACCTGCACTGCCACTGCCATGGCCCAGCTCTAGCTATATTTGTCAATTCATTCATCTTGCAGGGATGATGAGAGTATCAGAATTGCCATGGAACCCGATTGGCTTGTGCTGGACCTCAAAGTGATTCCCCTAGAGGACATCCAGCTATCATTCAAGCTGTCTATTAGGGTTATGGAAGGTCAGCAACCAGGGACATATGGCCTATGTGCAGCTAGAAGTGCCTTCCACAGAGGTAGGGGTGGAAATGGTAGCAGACCTGGATCATGGCCAAGAGTTCATAACAGGTAACACAATAATGTCTTTCAGGGTGACTCAATGTTCGGCTCAAGCAGGCCACCACCGTTCTGCCCTGAGGCCCCACCTGGGACAACACTCTGCCAAGTCCTTCATTGCTGGGTGGTTCCAGTTAAGTCCTTCATGAACTGCTGATAATATGAGGCAAGACTGAAGAAGTTATGGTGTTCAGTGATGCTTCACAGGGTAGGCCAGTCCTTCACCATCATGATCTTTCCTGAGCTCACTGCTATGCCCACCACGAGGCCCAGGAATTTTATCTTCCCCTGCAGAAGGAAACATTTTCAGGGATTAAGGCATTGGCCTGCGTGGCGGACAAAGTCGGCAACTTCAGTAAACAGGTTGCCCAGGTAGATGATGCACTGATTCTGTGGGCCAGGACTCACACCATTACCTTCTCAGAATTGTCTGGTGCACTGCACAGGCTGAATAGCATTACCTAGCAATGCCACAGCCCTAAACCAATGGTGAACGCGGTTTTGGGTCGGGCATCTGGAGCCAGTTCCACAAAGAGATAAACCACATCACACCTGCATTATGTTCCAATGCATCATCAGTCCTGGATAGTGAGTATGAGTTCTTCTGTTCAGGCACTGGTAGTCCATGCATAAATGCCATGACCCTCCCTTCTTCATGACCAGGACTAGCAGCACAGCCCATGGACCATCAAAAGGCTCCATGACTCATGCTGGCGCTCCTGGAGCAGGTGCTTTACAACATCATCTGGCACGCATGCTCCAGCTTGCCGGACCTCAAGGCGGCTGAGTAGCAGCGGCATGCAAGGAGGATGATGAGGGATACAAAGCTTGTCTGCTGGTACTGTAGGAGAGAAGGGCATTGGATATGCCACTCCCTGGAAGCCTGCACCAGAGCCACCAGCAGATAAGCAGAGGACACTGGAGCGAGGAAGACACCCTCCGCTCTATCCAAGATGCACAGGACCTGTACAGTGCACCCTGAAGCTATTTTTGCAGGCCTGTCAGATTCTTGTCTGAGACGATGCCGGTGAACGAGAAAGGTGGGTACCTCGGCAAACCCTGACCTCTTCAAACGCCAGCTGTGACAAGGCTGTTCTGCTCAAGTGTGAGGAGGTCTGCCACAGCTGGAAGGCCCAACTAGCCCAGAAGCACCACGAGCTGGGTGACAAGCAGGAGCAGGACCAGCAGGACTGGGAGCAGCTGCAGGAGTCCATGGACCAGGAGTGGAAGGAGCTGGAGCGGCTGTGCAGCGAGCTGGCCAGCTGGGAGTAGGAGCGTGACCACTAAGCAGGTCCGTGAGACTGCGCTGCTCGGCCAGGAGGAGGCGTGTCAAGGCTTAGAAACCCAACTGGCCCAGAAGTGCCACAAGCAGCAGGAGGTGGAGATTGAGATGCAGGACCGTGAACAGGCATGCCCCACTATGGAGGTCCAACTCACAAAGGACCTCAACAAGCAGCGGGAGGAGGAAGCTTGCTTGGCACTCCTGTGAGAGGCTACCCACCTGGAGAAGGAGCAGCTGTGCAGGGCCGCCCAACCCGGTGAGCAGGAGGCCCCGTGGCAGGACCAACCTGCTGCACAACATCAGAGCCCCACTAAGCGGGGTAAGAAGAAGGGCTAGGGCCAGGAGGAGGTCACACTGCCAACAGTATCCAGCTGCCCTGTGTACTGGCTGTCCCCGGAGAAGAGGTCCTGGTTGTGGGAGTCCTTGGGAGTGGTGTTCCCTGGCCAGGTGGACCCCCAGGAAGTGCTGCCTGATCCTCCTAAGCCACGTAAAAAGAAGGGTGGTCACCGGGACAGTCAACCTCTGAGGAAGGGGCCGTATTGTGCTGGCGGGGTGTGAACATCCCAACATGCCCCGTGAGAAACTGTAAATAGCCTTCGTACTGTTGTTATTGTAATTATAGTTAGTATACTTGTGGTCCCGATTGTGGCGTGTATGTTTGCCTGTGTGTTATATGAACCCTGGCTGATCCTCACATATCCTTAGCTGTGTATAAATCTCCTACCGTGTGTGTTCGGCATCTGATAACTCTGTTTCTTATGTTGTACAGTGGTACCTCGGTTCTCAAACTCACTAGAACTCGAATTTCTTAAAAGTCGAACAAATCAGTTTGACCTAGAACTCGATCTGAATATCAGAAGTCGAACCATGAACACTGACCTAATATAAATTGTACGCGCCAGGAAATGAGTCATACTACAATGCAATTCTTACTTGAATGCCTTCTTCACAGACTGGACAATTAACCAAATAAAGCAGCGCAACATTACAGTAACTAACAATAAATAAACCACTAACTTACATGTACTATTAGAGCATTTATGTCATTTATTTAAACTTTATTTTACCAGGTAAATTAACTCAGTTAACTGCTCCTCAGACTCCCAGTTCTGGCAGACGGGGCTGGAAAATGGATGAATGTATT